CGAAGAGCTGAAGCACTCGAAAATCCTTCTCATGGTCCAGATAGATACAGTCGTGGGCGTTGTGTCTCACAAAGGCCTCGGCAGAGCTGATGTACGTCCTGGCATTGCTCAGATGCTGGAAAGCTTGGCTACTAGACTCCCATAGCTCTAACCGCAACTCGGCGGCAGCGGCTTGGCAGGTCTGCAAATCCTGCGTGTAAGCCAATGCGACATGCAGACACAGACACTGCCTCGATTCGACCGTCCCTGAGGCCGGGGTCATCAAGGCAAGCAGACCATCATTAAGAACGAGCTTGTCCTGTACGTCCACCACTGGCAAGGGCGGAACGCCTTCCCACCGAGGGTCCTCAAAGACCAGCTGGGTTTTTCCAACCTCGTTATCCCAAGTCAAGGCTTCGAACTGAGCTTCCGGACGAGGGGGTGGGAGACCTGCCTTGCCTCCGAGAGACTCCAAATAGCTCTGGGCCTCCTCGGCCAACTGGGGGTGTCCGTAATCAACCGCCTGAGCCAAAATGGTCGAGAGGTCCAACTGCTTCTGCGCCATAGCGCTGTTCACAAAATGGGCGGCCACGTGAGAGTGCAGGTGATGGCTGCAGCCCTTCAACGGGAGGAGGACTCCTGACGAGACGATTGTTTCATACAAAGCTCGGCGTTGGGAGGCCTCTTCCCCGATACTTTGGACCGAGGACGGCTCCGCTGTGGTCGAAAAACTCTGGTGCCACGCATAGTCCGGGCCCTGAGCTAGTTCTCCCAACTCGGTTTCCATCGCGGTGACCGGTCCTTGGTAATCCTCGGGAACTGCCCACCCAGCCTTGTCCTTAGCCTTAGGCTTGGCTTTTGCCTTCCCTCGGGCGGTGTCACCTGGAGCGATCTTTGCAGCTTGCTCTTCCTTAGCTTGTGCTCTCAGCTGAGACAGCCTCCCATCGACCTCGTTGGGGTTGACCTTGGGGCCGTTCCTCAGCCCGCCGCGTCGCAACACTTGCATAGCGACAGTGTAGTCGAGCTTTGCAAGCGGTGGGAGGGGCTCATGAGCATGCGGGCAAGCAGTGCGTTGGCATCCGATGTGACACGCCGCGTCCCAGCAAATGGGCTTCTTGGTTTTAGAACATTGGGGGGCGTGGGCAACAGACCGCTTGACTTCAGTGGGGGTAAGCCTCTTACCAGCAGGATAAGCCTTGTTTCCCTCGCCAGTCTTGAGGGGCTCCGGCTTGAGGGAGAGCTTAGGACCTTTCCCAGCTTTGTCGGACTCGTCGGGCGGAACGCCAGGGGGATCAGAATCAGTGGGACCAGCGGTCTTCCTGTGATCCGGTTTGCGCTCCCGCGTGACGTGCTCGTGGAGCTGCTTGTTGAGAAGCCTGGCCATGGCCTTTTTCTGCCTCGGGAGGACGACCCTCTGATAGTACCCTCGAGGATCAGCCAGATCCCACACCCTGGGGAACTGGAAATTTGGAAGCCCATCCGCTCCCGGGGAAAGAGCCAACAGCTTGAGGTCCTCAAGCCGTGGGTTCTCGGTCCCAAGCCTCGAACACAGGATACGGCGTTTCTCACGCACTTCCTCGCACCAGACGGCGGTCATTTCCTCGAAGAGCTGCACGCAGTAGGTGAAAGGAAAGGCATTCTCGTCCTCCTCGTGCGCTTCTCGGAGAGCCTGCAGAAATTTCATACGCTCTTGCACGTGCTCAAGCCCATAGGCACTGCCAAACACCTTCACAGCATTCTCGGCATGTCGCAGCCATGTAAGAAACGTGCTGGGGGGCTTTGAACGAGCTTCAATTTTATGTTCGGTGGGAGGGCTCCAGTTTTCAAGCTGCTCGACCCGTGCGGTAACACAATCAGAGGCCTGCAGCGTGAACGATTCGGTTCCCCCCACCAAAGACCTGCCACCGCGAGAGCGACGCGGTTGGTGATGAGAACGGGCCACTTGATCAAGCCCAACTCGTGCTTGGCGTGGAGGCCTGCCCGTTTGAGGCTGCGGAAGAGTTCCTTTCCAAAGTTCAACAGACAGCTGTCCGCAACCCCTGGACAGGAAAACATCAATCTTTTCCCCGTCTTTCAAAGAACTGACCTGACCTTTGGTCCCCGTTTTATCTTCATCTTGGACTTTCCGGAGCCCGTCGATGGCGTGGATGATCCGATCGGTGGCCAAGGTGGTTGGACCAGGGCCAAGCTGTTCTCCGAAGGGCGCCGGCCTTCCTGAGGAGTCGCTGCCCCAGGCCTAAGTCGGGGAGGGCGGTGCCGCCTTCTTGCCCGAGGGCCTGGAGACCAATTTGCCCTACTCGTAGCCACGGAGGGGAAGAGCCGTAAGGGGAGTGCTCCCCAAACTAAGGAGCTGGTTGCCCGAAGAGCTACCCTGACTAACCACCAAACCTGAGCCCTGGGCAAGCCCCGGGGGGAGAGGAGGAGGTGGAAGTGGGGGCGGACCGACCTCCAATGGGGACCTCCTGGTCCAAGAAAGGGGGTCCTCCGTAGGAGCGGGTTCAGACTTTGGGGCATCGACGACCCCCAGCACGCTCAACTGCACAACCTCAGGGCTCACCCCGAAAGCGGTGGGGACCAAAGTGATTGCCTCGCTGACGGACGTGCCCGAAGCCCTAGCGTCCCTGAAGGACTCCAGGAGCAACACAGGGTCCACTTCGGGTGGTACACCTTCATCTATCCCGTCGTTCGGGATTACTTCCGAAACAGTGACAGTGGGGGGGGGCGCGGTGGCACTCTCTTTCGTGGAAGAAGAGACCGTGAGGACTCGACCTTCGTCGTGTCCGAGCAGGACCATTTGCGGATCAGTCAGGAGCCGTCTAAGATCTTCTGGGCGGAGACTGGAGGGTGGTTCACCTTCTCCCTTGACCCTTTTTCCATCCCAGTCCCGTAACCAGTCCCAAGCGTGAGCTGCTAGTTGCACCGCTTGGACCGACAGACCTCGAGCTTCCAGATCCGAGGGAGGAGAGTAAAGAAACTCCTGCAACCAGGCCTTGGGGTAGCGGTTGGAAGGATCCGTTCTGGGCGGATCGCCAAGACAGTGCCAAGGTAAGCTGAGTCTTAACCCCAAAGAGTGAATTTTCACAACTGCCCTTTCGGTGCGCCGGCTGTCCTCCGCGATGCCCTCGACCTCTCCGAGAAACAGATACCAGCATGGAGCAATTCCTGTTCCGAAGAATGGGCGAATACGAATGAGTAACGGTGCACCAGCTTTGGGATGTGCGGAACGTTCGTTCTTTGAAGGAGGTTCATACTCTGAGGCGATCCTTACGTTCCTAGGGCTAGGCCCAGGCGATGCCTGGTCAGAAAAGCGGGGGGACAGCACGGATGGATCCAGTATCACGTTGGGCATCGGCAGATTGAGCCCTACAGATAGAATGGAGGAGGGACTCCTCCGGTTTGGGACCCGAACTCCTGGGTGCCGGACTCTGAGAGCGACCGCTCTCTGACAAATGTTTCTTGCAAAGGGGGGTGCCCTTGTGAGCGCCGTACGTCTTGTTAAAGCAGGATAAAACACTGCATTTCCTCCCTTGGCAAGAAAGCATATATAACTGACTGTGGTGGTTGCAAAGGCGAGCACACTCTCTTCCACCCAAGTCGGAAAGTTGAAGGTCATCAACAAGTAATCGAGTGGGTTCGCTTGCAGCCTTATCCTCACAGCCCCCTGGTGCCAGTGCTCGAGGCTTACCCTGGAGCTCCAGCCCTACCAACACGGCTTCACATGGGTCGGACACGACCTCTGCCTCTGACTCAGAATCTGGGTCCAGAGGGCGGGTCACCCCATGATCTTGAATTTGGCGTGGCGCCTCAGTAGATCTTCGGCAAGAGCAGCAGCGCCAGCAGCAACCAAGACCTCGCCGGAAGGCACGGACTCCTCGCCAGCAGAGAACAAGTACTCTCCAACTGTTAAGACGTCCATAAGCTCCCAAGTCAATGACTGCGTCAGCATCTATGGCCGCGTAAGCCTTGCAGTGGAAGTCCCCTTCCTGTTGGCAGTCCTCCGTGCGGCAGAGATGAATCTGTGGGGCTCTCTCAACTTTCTCCCTCAAGCTTCGGGCGGTGACACCCAGAACCTGGCCAGGCTTGATCCACAACCCATGCCTGTCGACTCGGGTTCGTTGTGACCAGTCAGGCTGCAAACGAACTGCCCCTTGGTCAAATCGAAGGACCAGATCATGGGGTCGTCGCCCAGCGCCTCGGCCTCTTACCTGTCTCTGGTAGTACTCAGTGTCCACCGGGGCGGAACCACCAGGGCCGACCAAAGAAACAGTAGCGTACGCCTGGGGAGCACGAGTCTCAGGAAGATGCTGAAGAGCAGGATCCACTCCGGCTCTTCGAGAACCACGCCCTCGTCGACAGCAGCAGAAACCACAGCAAAGGCATCTCTCGCAAGTTCTTAACGACCAAGCCAGGGCGGTTATCACCAGAGTCAAGATGACGGCAAGGGTAGTCCAACCGGCGATCGGCCAGAACCGTCCAAAGCAAAGCACCCCTGCTTTGTCCAGGAAGTACAGGGCCCAGCCCCCGTCGGTTCCCAAGGTCCCCAACTGATCGGGGGTGGAGAACACCGACACGTTGGCCCAACCAAAGAGGACCTTGAAGTTCCACTCGCTCCACCACACTGACATAGTTCCGGAAGAAGTGGGCCCATTAGGCGGTTCGCCCGGGGGCGGTCCGCCCAAGGGAGGAGAGCTCGGCTCGGTGAGGTTTCCCGAGGACCACCATGGGAGCCAACTCTCAACGAGAGTCGCGGCCACCAAACAGTGACCAGCGAGGGCAACCACGGAGCGAGCCATTATGGCAATGTCCCTGATGCCAAACTTCAACTGAGCCGAAAAGTCTTGAGACACATCGGCTCATTCACTTGCAGAACTCTATGTTATCACTAACGAGCAATTCCTTCTTCGTTGCTTATATTGTGCAATGTGCATGGTCATGGAAGGGTGCTGATATCGGTTGGCAGATTCGGTCCGATGGTATTTGGGCCGCTAAGCTTTTGGCTTTAACCGTGAGCCACCGGAGCGATGTTCATGTTCAAGGAGGAGGGGCAGGGGTATGTCGGAACGTAGGGAGGAACCGGTTCAATGGAGTGATGCCACGCAGGATCTTCTGTTTTCTTCGTCTCAGGTCCAAGTAGCAGCTGCAAACGTGCCAAGTCAATCGTTTTTCAGTCGGGTGGCTTTCGTTCCAGTCGGCTCGACAGGTTGGAGATTCTGCCTTGAAGAAGGCACAGGGAGAGATGTGAGCCTGATGTTTTTGCCTTCTGCGGAGATGTCCTCTTCAGGTTCGCGATGCCCTGTCACGCAGAGAAGCTCCTGTCGCAGGGTGCTCAGACCCTAGCTTAACCAAGTACAGCAGCACCAGTCACCAGACTGCCCTGACAGTCTCAAGCTGTCGAACACGAACATGGCATCCAACAGCTTGACAGGCTGATCGTGCTCCCTGCTGCACCAACGAGCGTTTCCAGATTTTGAAGTGCCTCCAACCGCGATGTCCAGCCTAGGCTGCTGACATTCAGCTTCGGCCGTTGCCCGAGGGAGCAGCAGTGTCGCGTTCTCAGCAGGAGGGTCCAAGACGCGAGGAAAAGAGTCTTTACATCCCTGCGACATGGTATTGTATTAGGTCGAGTCCTCCTCGCCGAGGGGCCGCGGCCACAGAGATTCTCATACATGTGAGCTTGCAGCCTGAATCACGGGACCAGCCGGGTTGTTCCGCGTCATCCACAAGGTCCCATGGAAACCCAATGGAGACCACCCTCCAAGTGCAGGCCAGACGTCTTTTTGAAGGGGCCAAGGAGAGCATCGCGCATTCGATTGACCAGAGCTGCTTCTTTCATATTTCGATTCTGCGCATGGTTCAGACAAGAACATAAGCACTGCAAGCAGGCGGACACAAGGACATCCGCTTGCCGTGGGTTGCTCTCGATTGTGATATAGCCACAGCCAGCGAACGATCTTCTGCCCTTGAGAAGCTCCTAAGCTGTGCAAGTCACTGCACATGAGCATTCCTTGGCAGACTCCAGTTTAGTTCAAGTTTTATGTTTGCTTGACAGTAAAGGCTTAGATACTGGAGTAGCGCAACGTTCTAGGAGACCGGCGGCGAGAAGAGCGGACATCTGTTGCCGACCAAGATGCCTAAATCTTGTAGGCTGGCTAGAGAGCCTATGTTCTAGTGATTCACATGCCGAGACACGCTGATCATTGCTGATCGTGTTTCATGATTGTCCAATCGTCGGGCTTGGTCTGTCTTGTTATTGTCGACATCTGCTGGCGATCGAGCAGCGTAAAGATGTAAAACAATTACATGGCCGTACTTTGGGTGGAACACCGAGGTCTGGTGGCCGCCAAGGTGGTGCATTGCCACTGGCCGCGCAGGATTGAAAAATCACCCTATGTTCCCACAGTGAAGCGTCATGCGGCGAGCGGCGTGCGATAGTGGGGCAGGAATGCTTCCAGCAAGCGGAGGCAGGGTACCGCACCGCCTACATGTGCACACTGCTACATTCAACAGTGAGGTGTCTCAGTAAAACTGCCCAAAATGTGGTGTGGGTCTTGTCTGAGGCACTCTGTCAGCGCCAACGTTTTTCTGAGGCCTGGGCTTGAGATGATAAAAAGGCAGCTGCACAGAGCAAACAGGTTGCGCCAGAGCATCACAGGCAGTGCCGCTGTTCCGTCGAACACTGGAGGTTCTGCAGGCAGGCATCGTGGCTTGTCTAGACTTCGCCACCAGCAGAATGACTGAGCAATTGGAGCGGGGTGCCCGTGGCCGCTCTACTGCGGAACTAAGCAAATTGCCAGGAGTCGGGACTCGGCTTGCCGGGTACCAGTGGCGCAGTGATCACGGCCGAGGTGCTCTTGTAGACGTTTTGTCCAGTCGCTTTCCACAGGTCATGAATGCATCAAGCTGCTCTCGTCCTGTGCAGGTGTGGGCACACCTGGGTGTCGCCATGCAGTCGGCACCCCAGACGTAAAACTTGTTATCCCTGCCGGGCCGGTCGCAGCAGCGCCTCTTACCACACCCACACGAAGGAAAAGAGTCGATCGTACCATGTGGCTTTTAGAGCTAACAGAGTTCCATGGTTGTTTGGCTGCAGCCGCAAGATCGTCATATCTTCATGGAGCTTACCCCCTGCATTCTTTGCATACCATGCAACGCAGTTTCAATGCAGCATGCTTGCAGGGCCTCTCTTTCTTCCCTGTTGCTATGTACTGCGTGATCGAGAGAGCATGAGCGGCGATGGAGTCTTGGTGCTGCAACTATGTGCAACTCACCGAGACCGCAGCAGTCTACGGCGACCCCAACCTAGGGAAGCCTTGTACGAACGGCTTGTGTTGCTTTCAAAGGTCCTTGGACCAAGTCCCGGAAGCCATCGAGAGCTACAAGCGAGCTGTTTGGCACCAAGCAGCTGATTCGAGTTCCTGGCGCTGTAACCCCCCGCAACAGAAGACGCTTTAGTCTGTCTAGGTGCGCAAAGCGGAAAACAGTAGAGCACGCCAGCAAACACTGGAAAGCATACGGCCAATAGATGAGATTTGTCGAACTTGAAAAACCAAATGCAAAGGGCAAAGCACAAGCTAAACCCGACCAGCGGAGACTTGAGAGGGCAAGCAGAAAGCGATTACCAGAAGGAGAGCAGCAAGCATAACAAAGAAGCAGCACGACTGCAATGAACAAAACACAGACCAAACGTCAAGGCTCGCACAAAATTTCCTTCGATTATAGGGTTTGGAGCTTGAGAGGGAAATCCTGCCCCAGTATTCAAAGAGGTGCCGTTGTCGGGCATCGCTGTCCCCGCAGTGTTTGGGGATAAGACCTCCACAGCAGATGGCTGTGGTATGTGCGCGGCAGTTCTGTTCTAGTCGAATTCCGTGCAAGCAAGGTGTCGCTGGACCCAGCTCTTCACGCTCGGACCTTTGCATTTGACGGCCGGTTCTCCTCATCCGGTGGATTGATTCAGGCAAGCTTAGTTTGTGGCATTCCATTCCCTCCGGCCGAAGTTCCCAGCAAAGACTGGGTTCGAGTCCAGCTCGCGGCTCCTCGCGCATGTCTTCGACTCAGGTCTGTTTCGCCAATCTTGCAACACTCCATGCGTACCTCAATGACTCAAAGAAAGCGTTGGAGTGAGCCCTGTCGAGGGCGAACAGCACTGTGCCGTACAAACCATGCCGTGGGCCGTGGGTTGGTGCATTCGTGGTGAAGGTACATTGGGAATGCCATCGAGCTCGATCCGGAAAACCGGACTTACACGCAGCTCAGGCTAGGCTGTAGCTAAGCGATGAGCTTGTCCGTGTAATCTTCTTCGAGGATTTGCCATAGCCGCCATAGCCTTCTGCCCGAAGAAAACCTTGGAAGCACACTGCAGAAGTTCACGACCAATCTGGAGAGTCTACAGCCCTGTTCAAGCTTTGATGCTTTTCTGCTACGCTCTCTTGCCATGGAGGTACCAGTTCTTGGACTGCCAGTCTCAGGAAACCTCCGAGGCAGCGGATGTCGCTTCTTGTGTGATGCCCTCTACTGTAGCTTTTCCAATTCCCCCAGCCTTGAAAAATGCGGGTCGGAGCTATTTGACAGGTAGACAAAGAGGCCCTCGAGGATTCAAGCTCCTCGGCTGAAAGATGCAAAGGTCTCTGGAAAGTCAATTTCACGTAAGCAGAGTTGATGGGCCGTCCGGCAATTGAGGTGCCTCGAAACGCGGCCTGAGCGAGGCAGGAGAAGGACAAGCGGAGCCTTCTGCAGAGCCCTCTGGGCCGCTGGGAGTGGGAAAGAAAGAAGACAGTCTTGAGGCGAAGTGCTTGCAAACGTTCCCTGCACCTCCGAGGCTTGCATTCAAGTGCGCGCCGAGCCTTCGCTTACAGATAGCAGCTTCAAAAAGACAGTGCATACCAACGACAGGCTCGTCACAAAGCACCCCCCCAGCAACAGTTCACCTCCGACTATGAACTGGCTGGGCGAGCAACTACATTAGTGCTTGGGCCGATTCTCCGTAGCTGAGTGCCATGGTTGGCAGAGAACCATGGTGTCTTCGAGGCAGATGCCTTCGAACCGAAGCTGGGATGGATGTTTGGAGTTCACGTTGCAAGAAGCCATCGTATGTCTTTCAGTCATGTATTATGTACCAGTGCATGACTGGGGGATACTGGGGGTGTGGGGGAGCAAACTAGTTCTTGTTGCCGCCGACATTGTGGCTCATCAGTGCAGCCAATTTTTGACAGCGTGCGAGAGAAAAACAGACCTGGGGCAAATGGCAAGCGCGGCTGCGGTCGAGAAGAACTTGGCCAAGCTAGATGCAGTTATGCGCAAAACAAAAGCTGGAATCTCAGAGACGTCTTAAGTTCCGAAGCGAGTTTGGTATTTGCGTATCGCCTCGGACAGATTCTTCTTGAGTCCGAGGTTTTTGTAGCGCCAGTCGACCGACGGATCCTTCGGAGCAAAGCTGTTGTGAAGGCCTTGTCCAGGGGCGTGGGCTCCACTGAAAGTATTCTTTTTGACACGCGATGCCAGGGCAGGTCCTGGCCGATGCAGCTACACGGACTGCGGCCACCCAGCGAGGTGCCAGTGCAGGGAGTGTCGACATTTTAACAGCACCGCCGAGCATGCTCCATTATGAGGCAAGCTCCAGCTCCAGTGGCGCAACTCGCAGTCCTTCCAAGGACAGGTGAACAAGCATAGTCTCACAGGACAATCATCTAGCGTTTGCCCGGATGGCCAGGACGTCTTCCCATTTACGGCGGAGAAGGCACAGCACAGTCGATATGGCTGTCCTTTGGAAACTTCGGCCACAGGTAGGTCTCGGATTCGCCGCGGCTCTCGTTGCAACTGCCATTGTGGACATGTTGATTGTGGTGTTGTCCTCTTTGGACATGTACGCTCTGCTTATGGTCCTATGATTCCGGCGAATCGCTGTTTCCCCAGGGGTGGTGCTTCGTTGCTGTGGTTCTTGGAGGCTGCACGCTAATGCTGACCCTGCATCAGGGATACTGACAGATGTAGATGGTGCTTGCTGTTGTTGTGCTGTCGTTTCGTGGTACCGTAAGCATGAACATGGCTGCGATGTGTCCTGGTGACTATAGCAATGGCAATGACATTAGCGTCGTCGGTGTTGGTGGTGGTTTGTGCAGGTGGTGTCAGCCGCTGTGATATTCGGGCTATTGCTGGATCTTTGACGAGCTGCAGCGGTATTGTTTTTGTTTGTTTGTACTTTTTTCTTCAGTGACCTGCTAAGTCGGTCCACTATCGCAGGGCTTCGATCCTCATAAAAAGGAAGAAGCAGAAGAGGTTCTCGAGAGGAAATTAACGGAAGGAGGAACCAATCAACAACCACGGTCCTCTGACTCGAAGCTGCGAGACTTACAGACATGAGCTCCAGAGAAGCTGTCAGACTAAGCGGGTTAATTAGGGAGATACGCAAATAGACAACATGAGCACTTTTTTTGGCAATGCGTCCTGGCAACAGGTCCAGCAGACGTGCTCAAGCGCATCAGTCGAGCGTAAGGAAGTGCTGCTCGGATGAAGATGAGTTTCGGCAAAGCACGATTGCTACCGGTCCGTGCATTACAACAAGCCAGTGATTTGCCTTTTGCTCTACGCAATACGCCTACCGTTTGCAAGCACTGAAGGCTGACGGCTGAGGATCCCCGGCTGAAAGTATGTCTTTCGTTGTGCTTTTCACGCAGAGCTGGAGAGTGTAGCTTCTCTTTCGCAGCCCTTCTGCCGTGGAGCTGCGCTGTTTTGCCGAGGATTTCAAGGGAACATGGGTCGATGCTGATGGGACACGTGGCCAAAGAAAGCAAGGCATGCCACAAATGAAGTGAGACCTTTCGAGAAGCAGGATGAGGCAGCAAAGCTAGGTGCCCGAGGTGCAGCCTAGCCGTCACATGCAGGTTTGCTTCAGCAGTAGACTCGTAGACTCTGTGCGTCTGCCATGCTCAGCTTCTGTTGTCTTCGCTCTTTGCCTCAGTGCGAGTCCGAGCAGCTCAGGAACAATGTGCATGTTGCCGAGGATGCGGACAGGGTTTCAGAAAGTCACGCATTTAAGAGAGGCAGCGATACAACTTCTGCACAAGCCACTAGTAGATTGTTTGTTCAGCGAAATTCTTGCAGAGACATGCAGGGACATGATTCTGCGATGCGAAGTACCGATTTCATGAAGAGACTGAGTGGTCCATTGCAGCAGCTTTGTCATCACACTGTGACACATGAGTCAAGACGATCAAGCGCCGATGAGAGAGGCCGCTCAATTTGGAGTTTTCGGCCAATTGGTCTGGTGCTTACAGCGGTCATAGTGACGCCCACATCTAAGCCGTGAATACTTCAGATTCTCAATAGAGTTCGTATGTCTGAGATGCTGTCAACGGCATCGCCGAGGTGGCAACCATAACACGCCCTCCGCTTCGCCAACTCCGCCTGGAGCTTTGGCAGCCCGAGGCTGGGCTATGGCGGCGCATCGCAAGCGGCTACGGCCCATGAGTTGCAGCGTTGAGTCCAGGGCAGCTTACAGTGGCGCTGTGGCAGAGCGGGGCTCAGTGTATTGAGGGCTCTCTGCATGCCGATTTGGGCGAGTTCGTTCGGCTGCTCTGCTTGGCACAGAATGCCAGGGGTTCCCGTTTCGTGCAACGGCTAGGTGCTACATTGACTGCGCAAGCAAACCAACAGCTGGCCGCTGCCTCGTCCGTGACAGAAGCTGGAATGGCTGCGCCGTGTCTTTGCATCAGATTTGGCGCTTCCCGGGTGGGAAAGTCTCGACTTGGCTTCGAAAGGCAACTGCCGGGCGATCATCGGCACACATGCATGCAAGAATGCTTATCATTTGCACGATTCCTGGTAGAGGTATTGAGATTTCTGGGCAAAATGAGTCGTCATCAAGAGAGCGGCTTGTTGACTGGTGTTTTTTGACAACTCGCAGCAGGCAGCCTTTGAAGAAGGCTTGAGCGAGCAGGCGTCGTCCTGCTCTGCACCAGGGTCGGAGATTGGCGAAGGTCCTTAGGCCGGTAAGCCTTGAGTGGAGAAGGCCGCTGCGTTCCGTCCCACGTTTGCATGCAGGTCTCATGCTTCAGTGCTTTTCACAAGCCGCGCGTGATTGCTCAGGGTTGGCTTGCCATTTGGGATCCTGAATATGGCTGCTTGCATAGCACCTAGAGGCTTGCATGTCCCAATGTTGGCACTTGCTTTTGTCTGTTGTGCTGAAAGACGGGACATCGGGAAAATGTGGAAGAGTGGCGACTGCACAAATCAGCTTCAAGATGAGGTTACGGACCTTGGGGTCTCTCGACACCGAGCGACCAGTGACTCGGCACAGCTGCTGGCAGCCCCCCCGCCTCCGCCTTGCATCGCCTTGCATGGAAAGGTGGAAGGCAACAAACACATCCATGAAGCCGAGAAACTGAAGCCCGGTGAGGCACCCCGTTTAGTTCATGAAGAGTTAGTTAGTTGACATTCACACCGCATCATGACAACGACTTCTTAGCGCCGTTGCTCCAGAGAAGCACCACAAAGGAGGGCAGCAGGGGATGAGATTACTGTGCTGAGGGTGGCTTTCGTGTGCTCTGGTTTTGCCCTCGACAGCCACGCTTAGGAACATCTCCCTCAGCGACTTCGCATGGATGCTTTCCAATGGCACAACCAACCAGATGATGACTTCAAAGCTTCAGAAGGAGTGATGCCCACTGAACTTGCCTCACAGACATTTTTGTGAGAGCATGTCGAATGTTGTCCTGGCAGGATGGAACTATGGTATTTGTTCCTCTGACGGAAGCGAGCCTCCACGAGATGACGCACTGACATTTCTCCGAGGGGGCATGAATGCAGTTGGATCTTGGAGCTTGTAGCTTCTGTAGTACAAGAAAAATTGAGAATGAGCCACAGGAATCTGCGTTGATGTCCTCTACCTCCTATCGTGCATTTATCTGGCACAGTACTCCTATGGCTTACCATGACTGCTGGTGATGGGCTAACACACATGGAAGTTGACCTCCAGGATTTGCCAGCAGCCGAGTGTCTGATGCCATTGCTCTTGCCCATCGCCGGATGGCATGCTGGGCTTCTTGCATCTCTTGAAGTATACGCTACCAACCCGCAGGCACTTTCTGCCTTGCACGCGATTTTTAGGAAAGGCGGCGCTTGGTAAGCAAAAGGCGCAGGCCTCGCGTGGCCGCGAGAAGTTTGCTGCCCTTACCAAGCCAAAGCAAGCTCCTTCTGAAATTTTGTTCGGCTTTGGTCGCTTCTGTGTCGCAGACTGCTGCCTGCTTGGCAAGTGTTTGCGCTCCCAGCGGCTGTTGATTCGAAAGCCTCACCCTGAGATGCCCTTGAGGGGACACTCTGCAGCTGTGGCCAAACTCGGAGTGACGGAGGAACGCCATCTTCGTCAAATGAACTATAATGAACTTTAATGGCTCTGCGGATGCTACATCCTGGCTTCACAATGGAAGCAGACTCCTTCGACACTCCTAGCTCCTGGCTTCGGCACAGGCCGTATCTCGAGCAAGGGGGAAATTCAGGTGTGGAAACTGCAAGGCTCCACAGCTCCGCGCAGGAGGCAGACGAAAGGGGCACTTCTTGAACTGGTATATACTGGTATTTTCAATCTGCACTGATTTCGGAGTCCCTCTAGACTGAGCTACTGCTGGTAGTGATTCTTGCCCTGATGAATCGCGAAGGTGCCCGCGGCAACCGGGTCTGCGCCACTGCTTGGCCCGGGGGCTCGGATCTTGCCAGAGTTAGGTTCGCAACCACCATCCTTTGCACCAGCCGCGCCTAGACTGAATATATTTAAGAAAAATTATGAGATTAAATGTGGCCGGGGTTTAGTCATCTGAAATAAGGACTGTTTGGGTTCAGCGATCGTCATTTTCTGAAGTTTTCCACGAAATTGCAATCTTCTTTTCATACTTTTACGCCATTTTCCATACTTGGTCATTCCGTTGTACCTGCTTTTAGATCTTCCTGGAGCTCTTAACAGTTGGTGATTCCGGCCGCTTGACGTCGAAATTCCGGTCAGGAATGTTGGAGAGCTCTGGAACACACAACAATGGTATGAGCAAGCATGTGTTTCTTTTGTGATTTCCCTGGTTGCTTCGTTTCCATGTCAGCTTCATATATATTTTGCTTGTTTCCTGTAAGGCATCAATGTGAGCGTTGTGTTTGCGTCCTGAAAGTCGTGCTGCAGACACCGAGCCGAGGCCCTTGCTCTGCATAGTGGCCCTCTTCGCTGCATCGGCACTTTCAGATGCCTTTGCAAAGGCAGGAAGCCGTGTGTTTATTCTCACGTGCAGCATCCGCCTGCTGAATTGGTTGTTGTAGCTTTGATCATGCTTACTGTCAAACCCACGCTCCCGAGATGTCTCGCGCGTCTTGAAAAGCCTTCCACTTGGAGGTGAACCTCTGGCAGGCTCAGTGGGATGCGTCGCGACCCCAGTCTGTCGAGACAAGACAGCACAATGCGGATTTATACAGTCTTCGTCAGCCAGCATTGGTCTTGGGAGTCTTGACATTCACCAACTTCTTGAGCTTGCGAAGGAGCAAGAAGTACAACGAGTACAAGAAAAGGAAAATCCGCGAATGGAGTTCTGCTGGTTACCATGTCGGCACTGTGACTTGGCTGAAGTCGAACGCATCAGGCAGTTCCCTGTTTTCTGCCCGGCGGCCGAGTGCTACCAAGGCAAGGGATCGTGCCGGTGAGGGCGTCCTTCTCGGCAAGGCCGAGAGCATCGTGGCCCATCTAATCATGGGGGCACACAGACCACTCTTTGTGCGTGGCAGGAAGACGAGAATGTTGCCGTTGATCCCGAAGCTCTTCAACGCTTGGCCAAGGAACCGGTGATTCTAAAGATGCGCTGCCATGTTTACAGCACCGTTTGCAACCAATCCCTATACACTGCTACACACTACTGATGGTGGAGTTAGGCTTTTTTGGTCTCTGAGGTGTGTGCATGTGCATGCGTGTGTGTGTGTGTGGATGCGTTTGCGAACAAAGACGCTGCCAGGCTGGATCGGTCCGGACGTGCCATCAAAGAGGGCGAGAAAGTAGATGGGCTCGGCACTTTCGCAACGTTGTGTCAGTCGCATGATGCCGTAGAGAAGACAGGCTCGTGTTGGCACGATGGGAATCCTTGCGACTGCTTGTTACTCATTTGTGCATGAAGGCCGTCTGCAAGACTCTGCCAGTCCTAAAAGACGTGTGATATCATATATCATATCCCTTGATTGAACAGCCTCCATGACGACTAGAGTTTACGCAAGGTTGATGCCTTGGTCATACAAGACGTATCGTGGCTTGCACTCTGCACAGGCGCCGTTGTCTGTACCCTGTAATCTGACTCGGTAACCCGTGCTGTCGCAGGCGCCAGAAGGATTGGAGGATTTCCTAAGCAGATACAACAGCCGGATGCCCAACATGTGCTTTGGGTTTGTCTGCGAGGTACACGGCGTGTAATCTGGTGTGAGTCCATGCTGCCATAGAATCCAGAGCTCGTTGCAAGACCATGAATCAATGAATCTGACCTTCTTTCTGCCGCTAAGAAATGGACAAGAGTGTGGAGAGCATCCTCGGCCCGCGAGCACTGGACGAGTTCAGGTCTTCCGGCACAAGTTCGGTGGGTCGAGCGATGCATTAGCGAGGAATTCGAATGCAAAATATTGTTGGAAGTCTCCCATCTTGCAAGCCATGGAAAGGCAACGATGCGCTGCAGCTGCAAGCAGGGTCCAGTTAAGAATCGGCCCGCATGTGTCACTCAGGACGAACATGGCAGTCTTCAAAGGGAAGGTGCCGCAGTTGCTGCGTTGACATGTTTTCCCGAGCCGCCAGCCAGTCTCTAATCTCACGATTGGCAGTCGCAGGGCTGGGCTAGGAATGGCTAGCTGCTAGCTGTTTGGCGCAATGAAACGTCCCACCACATTGACCTCAAGCAGCCCGAAGCGATGTCCCAATTCAAGCTCCAATCTTTGATGGAGAGGGTGTGCACCGCGATGGGGCTGCAAGTGCAAGGAGCTGCATCACAGCATTTGCTTCATCACGGTCAACACGAAACATGCAGGCGGCATTCAAGGAGACAAGGCGACAACATCGGCCTAACCGCAGGATATGGGAGGCAAGGGGACAGCTGAGAGGACAGAGAGCATGCGAGCCCACGCCTCGCTTGAAAGACTTGTGAGGCGAAGGGATTTTGGACTCTCAAACAAAAAATGTGTGGGGAAACATGTTTCCTGGTACGAACTCTGGGAGACAATGCAGACAAAGGCAGGCATGCCATTCTCTGCAGGTGAAGCATACATCCGTCCATCCGGCGTGCTGGGCTGCTTGCAATGTACCTGTATACAGCCAAGAAACAGTGTAGCTTCCGTTTAAGTGTATGCCTTGAAAGTACCAATGAAATTCACAAGCATTTGCATGAACATCTCTTCCAGGACGAGTACCGTGTGATCCGAACGTTGACTTGGCCTGGAGGCTCTGAACAGCTGCTTCGAGTCGTAGAGCCTCCCGACATCGTTCTGATCTGCCGCGCTACAGTCACAGCTCACTGAAGCACTGAGCGCGTGGAGGTGGTGCTACTGGTGGTGGGCCGACATCGATCATGCTGCCGCGACTTAAGCAGTCTGTGCGGAGGGAAATGCATCGTGTCGGTGACAATCACGTTTCGAGGATCGGTGTTCTCGACATGTCCTCCCGCAGTTCTCGCCTTGCGAGCCGTGCAGTGTATGAGGCCGGGTCTCTTGTCAAATGCGATGTGCTGCGCAGTATCATGCCAGGGTAGTTTCATTGCTAGTATCGGTTGGCTCGCAATTGAAATCCTGCGGTTCTTAGTTCCATCTCGAAGAACGCAAGAAGGACACCTGCACTGTTTGAATTGCCGGTAGGTCTCTTTCTCTCACTAGCTAACGCACTTTGACATGCTTGAGCCAAGCTTCTTATTTCCAAGCTGACAAGGCAGCGTTCAGGACAACCTCTAATGTAGGTGCATTCGAAGAACTTTTTAAAAGATCCCTGCCTTTTTTTTGATTCAAGAACCGGCACACTACCCCGCGGTGGTCACCTGCAAGCGGTCATCCTTTGGCGCAGCCGCAGTGTGCCAGGTGCAGCCCTCGGCGCTGCTCGTGGAGCTTTGCAAGGAAAGGGCCGGAGTCTCGGTTCGACAACTGGGGCAAGAGTCAGAGTCCGAAGACATGAGAACATGAACTTCGTAAAATTTTGCGGCCCGTGCAAATGTCTGTGCCATCCAACACTGGAGTCACAGAGATCATCAGGGGATCAGGGGGTCTGACTCGTCTTATCTCAGTCTTCTCTCAGATCGGGCAGCAGCTGATCATGCCCTGTTCTCAGCGTGAAGGGATGACCGCGATGGCTCAGCGGATCAGATCTGGCAGAGATGGTTTGTCACTGCTTGCCCAAGGAGGACCTGGTGCATGTTTTGATCCCAGGCCTCGAGAGCACAAGGAGGCTGTGAAGAACTATGCCCGTGGATTTGCCACAAGTGTGCCTGGCTTGCTTGGTCTGCTTTCTCCGGGTTGGGCAGTTGGAAGGCGTGAATGACCTTTCAGCTGTGGACAGCAAATCCTCACCGCCTTCACGGAGAGCAGCATCACATCGACACCATCCACGGAGACAGCGAGGTCCGCCGGGGGTGTTTGGTGCAATGCACTCTCCAAGGCACTCGAAGGCCTGAGCAAATTCCTGGGGACCAGAGCTGCGGCAAGAGAAGCCAGTTGCAGCTACTCGCTACTGTTGCCAAGCACCCGTTTTCGTTTGCTCTTTGTTCGTTCTCAGTTCTCTTCAATCTGCTGCCGTTGTTGCTACGCTTGCTCTACATTCAGGGTTCTGTGATTCAGGGAGTGGGTTGGCAGAGCAAGTGTAGTGAAATACGAAGATGTCCAGAGCGTGCTAGATCTTCCTCAGGAAGCACGCGAACAACTGTAATGGGCAGCCTCCCTCGGAACTTCATTTTGGTTTGTTCGATGTCCCACCTCCCGACCGTCCCGACCCACCTCCCGACGCAGTACTATTAATTAGCACTTTCCTTACTGCTGAAGCAATAATAATAGTAATAGTCCTGTGGTTGGGGGTTCTTCCCTGCCCGACCTCATAGACACAATACTGCTTTCGGTGAAGGGGGCAAAGCGAAACAAACCATAATCCTGTGGTGGGCCGGGCTCGACCGCATAGACATAATACAACTTTCGGTGGGGGGGGGGGGCAAAAACAAAAAAGCATAATGATCCTGTGGTGGGTGGCAGGCTCTGTTCCTTCAACAAACAGCATAATCTTCATCCTTGTCCGACCTCATAGACATCATACCTCACCCAAACCTGAAGCCACCAGTGCCCCGGCGCAGTGCTTACAAATCCCAGGCACTGCACGGGTCTCTTCCCCTACACCTCGACGAATGGTTTCTCTTATTTGTTCCAGCAACTTTGACGCCTCGCACCCCCACCCTTAACCCCACCGCACCCTGCCATGCCCCGACCCCTTTCCCTTCCCCGGCACCCCACACCCCCCCTCCCCCCGTGTGCGGTCGTAGAGACTGCGCGTTCTGACTTCCCGCCGGCACCTGCAACTTTCGCTTGCAACATGTCCTTCGTGGAAAGCAGGCGCTCAATCGCTGGACAAAGGGGGAGCCCTACGCGGAGGCTGTGAAGGAGTTCGCTTGAAGCCAAGTGAAGGAAAGCCTCGCCACTTCTTGTAGCATCCACCAGTGGCATTTGCGAACTTCAACAGCTATCAATATGCATCACGCTTTCTTGCTGTCACAAGGTCTCACAGCCAGCTGGTGCGATACCCAAGTTGCTCTGCCGGAGTCCAAGCTGATCTTGGGTTGGCTGCGGAGTTGGAAGCATGTGTAATCGCAAAAGGCCTTGGAGACGTTCGCAGCTCCACGATGGAGCGAATCCAGAAAGAGCAAGGCAATGAAACGACGGTGAAGGCCGCTGTACCGGTTCCTGCACGTCCGTTTGCATCTAAAAATCCGGCCCACTTAGTGATCGGCGTGTTTGCACGGGAGCCCTCGCGGTGCTGATCGCACAATACATTCAGTGCAAAATGCTCCGCAGTGATGCGGTGCGGAAGGCACAGGAGGGACAGGAAAAGTTCTCCCAAAAGCCAGAAGAATCTGCCAACTCGAATGACCCACCGTGACTCACCAAGAGTTATCCACGTTCATGACCGGGCCGGAAAGATTCAGGCTCAATGCAGGCGACAGATGGCAGCATTTCATGCCTTGCTTTTTTCAGAATCTTTCAGTTGAGTGGTTCGCGCGCAGGAGATAGATGAATGTAGGTCACAAAGAAGTTTGTCCGAAACAACAGCTGAGAGGAGAGCACCCTGAGGGGTCCGCATTCACATAGTCCTTTGCGAGGACCTCACTCACTCACCACGAGCCAAGCAGCTTGCGCAGCACGCTCGGGTCGTTTGCTGTGGTGTGTTTTGCTTTTAGTCGGAAGGGCAGGCATGGCCTCAAGATCGTGCAGTGGAACTGCGTTTTCGACCAGCCAAAGCTTTGTGCAAGGCGTGGCATCATGTCTATGGCAGCCTCTGGACACAAGGCCTCGAAAAGACGCGGGGAGTGTGCAGCTTCTGTATCGTCCAAGCTGGCACAGGTGATTTTAGCCATCATGGACACAGATCGCGTGGGTCCTGCAGCCTGCTCAGCTGGACTGCATAGGTCAAGGCAGCATCGGTTTACGTAGTTTACAGCTGCATCATAGCGTAGGATGCTGCGCATGCTGTCGAAGGTCTCAACGTGGTTGGAACGGGCTGGGGCTGTACTCCTAGCCGTCAGAACCCGAGTATGGCCTGACTCGAAGCCGCTGCTCAGAGAAGCGAGAACCATTCACCAAGAGCTCACACAGCCTGAGCCCAGAGCAGCTGTCATGTCTGCAGTGAAGGCCGCCGATGCATCAGACATCGAGAACAATCGAGAGAGTTCTCGGCTCGGACCAGCGGAGTGCCTGCACATACTTGTGATACACCCTCAACTCTGCGACTGGTTGAGGCCTAGCGGCTGACAGCCGCATGGGCTTGCAGGAGCGAAAGGTGGGCCTTGCTGTTTCCCTTTGCCCGACTCTGCAACTAAGCTAATTAAAAACTGGCAGAGACATGGCAAACCTGGGTCATGTCGCCACGAAGCTGCTTGTGCCACAAAGTCACCAAGGAGCCATGTAGCCCCCTACGGTTGTTCGTTCTCGCTACTAAACTCTCACAGTCAGTCACAGAGTCACAGATGAACAAGAGATGCAAGATGATGCACGCCCAAGATGCTACTGGTAGGTGCTGAAGAGCAAGCGGTGTTCTGTTGCTTCGCCAGTTGTTCAACTTAGCACGCCATGCACAGAAGGTGCGACGGGCAAGAGCCAAGAACAACGTCAGGCCGGCTCTCCGCAGGAACTTCGGCTTCGGGCTTCCAAGGCCCGAAGGGAAAGAGCTCCCGCACCTGAAGCGTTGCTCACTCTGTGGTTCCGTCTTGGGGACCCAGCAGCCAAAGCGAGGACGTAACAGCAATGCGGGTCTAAGGGGTGAAGGTTTGACTGCGAAAGCAAGACGGGCAGGTGCGGCTTCCGGGTTAGATACGCAGCGAGCACGATTCGACTCCCTGCTGTTCGAATGTACAGGAATCAAGAGCTAAGCCAAAAAACACTGGAAATCCCGAAGCGCTCAAAACATGTAGTGCTTGCTGCAGTCAGGCATGGCACTGCTCTATTGGACTTCAGACGAATTGCACCGCTTTACAGGCATTTTTTCGAGTCTTCGCAGGTTGCCGCACAAGCACGGCACGCCCTCGAATTGGATGGTCGAGGACCGACGCCAGTCGGTACCGAAAATGATCTAACCATCAGCAGGCCTGGCCTCTGCATAAGCATCCCAGGACCACTGGGGTTCTTCCTGAACAACGAGGCAAGCAGCAAGTATTCGCCCTGGCAAAAGTCGCTACCTTGAGCTCGGAGGCACTCGAGTTTCTCAGCCGCCGGCAGCAAAGGCTACTGCAAATGCACGTGACCTAGCGGATCCCCTTTGACGGGGCTCGCACAGCAGCGGCTTACTCACTCGTTGTGCTGCTGTTTCATGAGTGAGGACTCGGCTGAAAGACCTCGTCCACCACACAACGCCCCGGAAACATTGGGAGGCGCTATAGTTGCGCTGGCTGCTAACCTGCTGGGCCATGGTCCACATGGCTGGTCGTTAGGTTTCGCAGGTTTGGACTGGTTCGCTTCAGAACGTGGCTTCCATCTCGTGCAGACGGCTGAAGAGCTCTACGTCGTGCGTCCCGGTGAGCGCATCCCGGGTCCAGAGACGCTTCTCCCAGGTGGGTTCACTGTGTCTTTGCTACTGTGAGGCCCCCGCCACCCCGGCAAAGAATCCAACGTGTAGCGTTTGGGAGACCGATTTGACAATGTGAGCACAGGTCAAAAGCCGATTGGCCTCCGCTTCGAGCTCATGCCTTAAGGGCTTCCAGACCGTCACTGCAGTCCAGGTTACGTTTGTCACGGCCCGATAAACATCCGAGGTATGACCGCTTGGAGATTCCAGATCATTATCTGCGAGCGTGAAGCCTACGTAACAGCTTGGCTTAGCAATGCCCCGTCGCCTTGACTCTTCTGATCTCTTCATGCACGCACAGAGCGACCGCTCAGGAGGCCGGCATGGAGAAGCACTCCGATGCTCTCGCACAGCGTCTCCTGGAAGATGGGGAGGACAGAAGGATCTAACGGGGGTTCTACATGATGAAAGCAAGAGAGCCATGTGCTGGTAGAAAGAGCAGGCACGCAAGGCAAGGCTCGCATTGGCAGGCCCTGGAGCCGTTCGATCCTACGGAGCTGTCCTGGTGGTCTTCTGGGGCAATCGAGGTTACCTGGCAAACGTTGGTTCACTCTCTTGCTAGCAGCACTCCTCCAACCATGCTTGCGAT